TATACATTTCTTTTCCTGTCTCTGGAAAATGGGGGTAATTGCATTTGTCGGCAACAACTCAGCAATGTTGTCAGAGTTGATAAAACAATGTTTTTAAAAGGCCTCTTTGGAAGCAATATGCCGCATAAATCACAGGTCCCTATCAGGGTGGTTATTTTTGTGCTTATTTCTTTAGTAGTTCAGTAGAACATTGATATTTCTTCCCAGATAACTCACATTGAGTCACAAGATGCCCTAACACTCAGGCAACAGAATTTTGTGTCTCTAACCTTCTGATGAACTTGGGAATAAACTTGGTGCATTTCCTTTTTACTGTTGGAAGTTTTCAAGTTGATTAGCTTTGTGAACATATGTCTGGGCAATTTCTTGCCAAATACTTTTGCATATAGAAAGAAGATAGCAGTTAAAACTCACCGCATCCTTGTGAACAAATTGATACTTTTTTTGCCCTCATGTTACCTAAGTATTTTAAGAATCAAATCCCAATATTTAAAAATTTCACTGCTTTCGTGAAGTACACACAATTCTTCCATCTCAGAGTCTCAGGGTCAGACTTATTGCTCCAAATAAATTGCATTTTATATAGAATAAAAGACCAGCTGTAACTAGAGGCTAAAGCCAAAGGCTGTTACAGGTGGCGCCCCCTGGAGGGGCTGCTGCTGAGGATGAATAGCTCCAGGTGAAATACAAAGTATCTGTGGGGATGGAGTCTCTGATAAGAAATATAAGGGGCTGTTGAAGCAACCCTGGGGATTCAACATTTGGGATTTCAGTGTTTTTGGATTTTCAGAGATTCTGGGCTCAGCCATTTCTGCCCCCACCATGCAGATCTTCCAGAAGGCTGTTGCAGGCCTCTAAAGGATGTGGATAGGCTTCCAACAGCCAGTCTCAGAGCAGGCTTTTCAGGTAGCCGAGAGTCTGAGACTGTTCCCAACTTATTGGCTGTTGCAGCCTAGAAGGGAACAAGAAGACTCCGAGCCGGGTACTTTACTGAGATGCATGAGTGTGGGCTGTTTTTCGGGTCATTCAGTGGCTGCAGCTGCTGTTTTGAGTGTTGCATGTCTAGTGCTGTGCTACCACATCTCAGCAGCTCTGGGGAGCATCTCCTGTTGTGTCTTCTGCTGTCTTTGTGAGTTGGATCCCAGCCTGTTGTCTGGCTCCCATGTTCTCTAGGCTCTCACTGGTGGGAAGATGCCATCTTGGGAGACTTCTGTTTAGGACCTTAAAACACTGCACACTGCGTCAGGTGAGGTTAAACGGCCAATTGTGACCTCAGTGACTTTGTTTTCCCTTGTTTGCTAAATAAATACCATTATTGTTGGTTTCTGCATCTGGGCAGTCTTGTAGTTGTGCATAGGTGAAGAACTCGGACAGTGACTGGCAAACTGTTTGGGCACTGTCCTTGGCCAGTTTTAGTGTCCCTCATTGCCCTATATCACATCTGCAACCTAAATGGTAGAAATTTTTAAGTTCTAGCAACGGTATAAACGTACTTCCAATAGCCACAAGACACAGATGTGAAAATTAAAAATTTACTTGCACTGACTACTCAAGTGCTCAGCAGCTCTTGTGGCTAGTGGCTATAGGGTTGGGCAGTATGGTTGCGAATCACTTCTGTCATCAGTGGACAGTGCTGCTCCGTAAGATTTGTTTCTCAAAAGACTAATATGTTTAGCTGGAATAATTTTAGTTTTCCACTCTTTCTGTTCATCTTCTCTTACATTTCCCCCTTCATACTCCATGAGAATTTTTATTTTGGGGGGTCTTAAAGACAGCCTCACCTCCAAGGCCAGGATTTGAACACAAAGTCTGAGAAAATGACATGTGGAATCACCATCTGGAGGTAGGTACAGTGGCAGATCCAGCCATTTTTGAGAAATTGTCTGGCTTTGGAGTTACTCCCAGAATTCTGATTTAGTAATTCCTAAGCTTGTAGCAAGTCTGAAAGAAACACAAATCTGTTTTGTATATACAAATAAATCCTCATATGCCGCATGCCATTCTCAGCCTGCCAGTTTCATCTGACTGCTCCAGAAACTGTAATTCAATAGCACATTAGTTAACCTGCATATAGGGAATAGAGAATTCTGATTATTGAAATGTTCTGGTTCAGTGATTAACGCCATTTTTGCAGAAAATCTGCCGAGGCTAAGGATTTTCTCTACAAGGTATTATGCCACTATATTTCTCTTGTCTAGCTGATCACAGTTGCCTTACTTCATTCCTCTAGCTCTCAGAAATTTCCCTCTTTGCTAAAAACTATCCAATATACAATTGATATAGTCTTAATGAGGTCTCATGAAAATAGATCAAAAGTGGTATTTTGAATAATTTTAGAAAAAAGAGTGGACATAGAGGAAAAAATTAAGAGCCTTTGCCCAAATTTTACACATTTGTGGATTGTAGTCCCTGACAGGGGGGAAGATTCTTCAAATAGCATAACTTGAAAAAAATTTATTCACATCTTTTATTTTCCTTATTAATGAATGCTGACATCGGCCAGGCAATGCTGCAAAGGTTTTACAAGTATTATTTCATTTAATTTTTATAGTCACCTTAGCATTAGACATCACACTATTATATATTTTTAAAAGATTTATTTTATTTATGCATACAAGAACTGGGGTGTAGACTAGAGATGCGGGGAGTGAGAGGACTCTCCAGAGACAGAGTGGGGAGCAGAATAGGTGGATCTATTGAAATACACACTGAAGGGAGCAGCAGGCGGGACAGGAGAGGTCTGCTGTGCTATGTGGGTTAGTTCCCCCTGGCCAGGGATTGAAATCATGCCACAGTGGCTGGTGATAGCTTGATAGTGCTGAGACTTTAATCTCTGTGCCACCAGGGAAGTCCTATTATATTCATTTTATTTATTTATTTATTTATTTATTTATTTATTTATTTATTTATTTATTTATTTATATAAGCACTGGGTATAGTCAGAAGCGCGGAATGGTGAGAGAATTCACCAGAGCCAGAGCCGGGAGCAGAGCAGGCAGAAGGACCGAAGTACACTGCTGAGGGGAGCAGCGGGCGGCAGGAGAGGTCTGCGCGCCATGTCGGACCCTCCTCCGGTGGCCGGGGAGCAGCCAGGGATCTAACCAGCGCTGCAGAGGCTGCGGGCAGCTTCGCAACCCAACGCTCAACCGCTGCGCCACCAGGGAGGCCCTATATTCATTTTAAATGAAGAATCCAAGCACAGAGAACTATGGATAGGTCATTGCTTGTCTACCTGAATGTTCAGTAAATTTATGGAACTGATAAAAGAGTTGTGGTGTCAGTGGGTGGATAACCCAGGAAGTAGCTGAATTAAGTGGCCCCTGCTTCTCTCATCTATCTTTTCACAGGTACTATTGTAGGTGAATGAAGTCAAGGGGCCAGCATGAGGAAGGGAGAAAAGGAACACTGACAATGCCCATTTGGGTCCCTAATGGAAAATGGAGCCAAAAGAGGCTTTTTCTTCATTAAAAAAAAAAAAATAATCCATATGTGTGACCCATCTTTTATTGACTTTTAATAGATTTGGCTCTCTAATGTAATTTTTTTCCAACTCAGAATATTTATACTGAGCAATGAGTTTAGCTTGAGGGTGAGGGGGCAAGGGAATAATGCAGAATTGACTAAACATCATTATGATGCTTGATTTTCTTCCAATTTAATGGGAGGCAAATAGTCAAACACAAAACAATAATCATACAAGTTATGACACACATGTACTGCAAGAGAGGGTCCAAATTGCTGATAGAGAAAAAGAGGAATAATAGTTACTCTTTAAAAAAAAAAGCTGTTACATTTTATTTTATTTTTTAAAGATTTATTTATTAATACAAGAACCGGGGTACAGGACAGATGCACGGGAGGGTGAGAGGATTCACCAGAGCCAGAGCGGGGAACAAAACAGGCAGACTGATAAAATACACTGCTGAGGGGAGCAGTGGGCACAACAGGAGAGGTCTGCTTCGCCATGTGGGATTCTCGAGGGCCAGCCTGGATTGACCTGGTGCTGCAGAGGCTGCGGACGGCTTCACAGTACGGAGCTCAACCACCTGCGCAACCAGGGAGGCCCTAATAGTTGGTTTTGGATGGAGAAATTAAAGTAGATTTCACAGAGGAATAACTTTTGAGATCCAGCTTCAGAGATGAGTGCATGTGATCCAGGTGTAAAAGGAGGAGGAAGTTAAAAATTATAGTTGTGAAACCCATATATCTGATTTTGATGAGTAATGTAATGGTAAGAAAGCCTTGGTTGTAAAGTAATGAGTGTCTCTGAGTGTGTGTGTATGTGTGTGTGTGTGTGTGTGTGTGTGTGTGAGAGAGAGAGAGAGAGAGAGAGAGAGAGAGAAAGAAAGAGAATGCGTTTAAGAGAGAATTTTAAAGATTAAATGAATCTCCTTTTTTAGACTACCCAGCTAATATCAGATATTGAATTCAAGATCTTCTAAATTTGATTTTATTGTACTTTTTGCCAAATAAATTTTTGAGGGGCCAAGTTTATTTCAACATTTAAGTTAATGTCAATAGGAAAAATATTAGATTTGTCAAGAAACAAACACCATTTTCACTTACTAAATGGGTTTTTCAGTGGAATCTGGAAAACATTTTAAACATTGGAATGGAATAAAATAGGGAAAACAAAGATGAAATTTTTGAGACCGTTTTATTTATAAGCTAGAATGATTGAGCCTACCTATTTCTTTGATGAGAAAAAAAACACTTAAAACATGATGAATTAATAACTAATCAATTAATTGGAAAATGCTTTATTTGCTCAGAGAGGTTACACTGAGGTTTTCCTGCTGTTACTATTAATTATAGAAGGAGTAGAGGTTTAAATTAAAATATTTGTAGTTATATTGCATTTATGGCTTTTTCATTTTCTCTTATTTTCATCTCTGCTAAGGTTGTATATGTGCCTTGTATATTACAAAGATCTTTTAAAAGCACATTTTTAGTATTCCAAAGAAGCATCTTTCTAACCACACTTTTGTCTTTTCTGGCAGATGACATTTGATCCAGAAATATTTTTCAATGTTTTACTGCCACCAATTATATTTCATGCAGGATACAGCCTAAAGAAGGTAAATATAATAAAATTATTGTCTTCTTTTATCTTTAGGTAAGGAATTTTACCAGCACTTATCTAAAATCCCAGATATTTTATGGGTTTACCAAGTTGGTAAGAATATCATTGTCTTAGATTATGTGAAACAGATTCAAATATGACTTATTTAGAATTCCCTCAGCCTGCTGTGTCCAATACCGGTCCATTAGCCACATGCAGCAATTGAGCTCCTGAAATGTGATTAGTCTGAATTTATAGGTTCTGGCGTATAGATTTTTGAGGTACAGACTAACTTTATGCTTTGTGTATGGAATACATACTGGAGTTTAAAGACTTGTCATTAAATAAAGAAAGTAAATACCTCCATGTTTTATATAGATTTTATGTAGAAATGATAACTTTTGGGACATATTTGGGGCAAATAAAGCATAGGAAAGTTCATTTTCATTCTTTTAAAAAATTGTTTCAATGTGGCTATTAGAAAAAAATAAATTCTCATGCATGCATGGTTTGCATTATGTTATACCAGACAGTGCTATTATTCTAGATGATTGTATAGAGTTCATTGTTAATTAATATTAGGTTGATGCATCAGAGTGAACGCTTTGCTCATACTCTGCTGATGGTCATAGAGAATCCAGTTTTTCAGTTTCTGTGAGTTTTACCTGACATTCCTTAGGCCCAGCCTGAATGAGCATGTTTTTTAGATTACTCATTGACATAATATCAATAGTTCTCTCTAGCATTCGATGCTGCAGAACGAGGTTCTGGTCTGTAGATTTTTGAGGTACAGAGATAACTTGGAGGCTTTTCTGCTGCTCACTCCTAGTGCCGTGATTCCTGGGACTCTCCTCCTTTGACCCAGAAGCTCCAGCGGCTAGGCAGCTTCCTCAGCACAGGTCTTTTTTTCTTGTGTACTCCAGGCTCCCTCTTGCTGTCAGTTCTGGCTACTCAGCTCCCACTGACAGAACTGGGAAGGAGTCTCCACATAAGCATCTGAAGCGATTTAGAGGCTGGATTTACGTAGGCCATCTTCCCTCGGCCCTATATACCAGGCTATGGTTTGTGTGATTCATACAAGTAAATTATTGTAGGCTTTTAAAGTTTTGTTTTAGCACATTCAGAAGAAATATAAAAGTCAAAAGGCAACTTAAATCTATTAGAATAGTATTTTTTTAATGTTACAGAGGTTCCCTTGACAACAAAACTTTTTAAAAATTGTGTTTTCTTTGTTAATGACTCGAGTCCTCTGTGAACATTGCTCGCTTTCTCTCGTACCCTGTCACCTGCCAGATATAGTTTTCACTCCCTATTTTGAGAAACCCCTGCCCTTTGCAGTATATATCAGTTAAATCTTTTGTTATTCATTAGGGCCAGGAGCTGAGGCTCTAAAAAAAATTGCCTAGAAAGTGCAAGAAGGAAGAGGCTGTAAAAATGCATAGTTTATTTTTATTTCCTGTTATACTAAGAAAAAAAATGCTGATATACATTATATATATATATATTTTTTTTCCCCCCCCAGAGACACTTTTTTCAAAACTTAGGATCTATTTTAACATATGCCTTCTTGGGAACTGCCACCTCCTGTGTCGTCATTGGGTAAGTGACATTTGGAGCTTAAGGTCCATGTGGCTGTGGAGCCATTGATCTGTGGGAGGAACTTCGCCTTTCCTTTCCTTACATTGGCTGGGTAAATTGTCAATTTTTTCAGTAGATCTCATTATTACATGTTTCTCTGATTTAATTTCCAAGGCTTACATGTCTTCTGACAAGCACAAGGCTTCAAAGCAAAGCAAACTGGGACTAAATTGCTAGATTTTCTTTGTGAGTTTTGGACTTCTCTGTCTTGGGAAATATGGATAATTTGGTTTGAGTTATGTGAATCACAATGAATCTTTTTCTTTTCCTTTTTTGCTTGAATAATGCAGATAAATACTGCATTCTGTTTACATCTTCTTTGCAACCCTACCTATATTTGACAGGGATATAATAATAACTACATGTCAGGATTTTCTTTTCAAAGGAAAGTTTATAAGAGAGTTGTCTGAAATAGACATTTCCAAGTATCAGCTGAGTTGTTTAATGCTGGGATGGCTTTTTGGTCAATACATTATAGAATCCCGGCTTGTTTTTTTCTCATTATATTTTATAGGTTGTGCTGCTAAGCCTCATGTCTAAAGATATAGACTCTGACTTGCAGCTTATCATAAAGCAAAATGTAGTACAAAATGGTGAAGTCAATCCAATTCATTTATAATCCTGTCCAATACATTAAACCTCTCCACTTTAGAAATCACATACAGCAGCTCTATGATGGTGTAGATGTCTTAAACTATCTGAAATAGCCAACTCTACCCTTAAATTTTACTGCATACAGCTGTTGTACCCTGGCACCAGAAACTGATGCTAAGAGCACACACTAGTCACTTGTCCAGCCTTCCCTTATGAAGTATTTAGTGTGTGTCCCTGAAAGGCTACTTGGACCTGAAAGCAGGGAAGGTTTATGTTTAATTTGCTGTTAAATTTATATTGATTCAAGCCTAGAACAATTCAGACTATATTACATGAAAATGTCCCGCATTGGTTAAGGCTTATTGCAGTGAGGAAGCTAAAGATTTTGGCACCAGGCCTGTAGATTGGGGAGCTCCATCAGGTCTAGTCACCTAGGAAGGCTTTGAACTAATTGTGACTGAAGACATTGCTGATTTGCATGTTCGGGGAAGGGTGTTCAGTTCTGTGGTAAATATGCAAATTTCAGAGCTGGCAAGGGCCTCAGAGATCTGTGTAATTAAAGATCCTCATTCTGAAATGAGAAAGTGACATCTTGAAAGGCTAATTAATTGGCTCAGTCCCACCATTTGTGAGAGGAAGGATCATAGGCAGAATTCAGAACTTCATTTCTGGACCCAGCAAGATGTCCCATCACCTTCCCTTCCTTTAGCAGTCTCTTGAATTTTTGTACACTGTTCTTACACATTCAAAGAAAACCCTGAGATGTGTAGACACTCAACAAATGTTCATTGGTTTATCAAAAAGATTGATTTTTCAGCAGCTCTGTAGTATGAGTGTCTGAAATTTATAATGGGTCCAAATTTTAAACTCATGGACAGTATTGTCACATCATGGCGTGACCAGTATCTTTTACATACTAATTTTCAATATGCTAAAGTACATGCAATTATATGATATGCTTTCACCATTATGGAAAAGGCGTATAAATCCATTTTTCAAATGCAACAATGTATAATGTATGTGTGTTGCATATAACTGACTCATTCTAAAAATACTCAGTTCAAGGGGTCTGGTGATACTCATTTATTAAAGTTAAGAACCTCTTCTAAATTGATTTTAAGGTGCAATCAATAATTTATAATGGAAAAGTGATCTGAATAAAAAGTACTGCCCTGGAACAACTTTTAGAATCATATTTGTTGTTGAACTGGGCATAATCTGAAGAATGAAATCTGTTTTTTAAAAAGATTTATTTATTTATGCATACAAAATCTGGGGTACAGGCCAGAGGTGCAAGGGGTAAGAGGATTCACCAGAGATACAGTAGGGACCAGAACAGGTGGATTGACTGAAACACACTGCTGAGGGGAGCAGCGGGCAAGTCAGGAGAGGCTGCTGCAGCATGTGGGTCACCTCCCTGGCTGGGAATCAAACTCAAGCTGTACTGCAGATAGTTTCATAGCACTGATGCTTAACTCTTTGCACTACCAGGGAGACACCTGAAAAATGAAATCTTGTAGGGTGTTTTCTTAATGAGAGTCAGAAGAAATAGGTAGTTTAAAGATTTTAGGATCTTATCTATCCAGATAAGGGAAACCACTGAAAAGTCTAGCTTGAATATGGAAAGATCAGATGTCTACTACACAAAGATCATTCTGCTGGCATGTGAAGGAAAAAATTTGAAGTGGAAAAAGAGGGCAGGTAGGCATTCAAGAGGCACTTTCTTTAGGTCAGGTTGGGAGAAAAGAAAAAGAGGTTGGGAGAAAAGAGGGCCTGGCCTCAGGCAGTGAGAGTAAAGTTGGGTATGGGGTTACCAGCCCCACATGGTAGAGGGAGATGGGATCGTCCAGGACAAGCGTGTGATAAGGAGGCAAAGGTACTTGCACAATAGCACGACTAGAAGGAAATGAGAAGGCAGCCACAAATGCCTAACAAGTATTGGGCCCAAGAAGCAGCAAGAAAACCAGTAGGGAATGTGTCTGAAAGTCAACAAAAGACAACGAGGAGAGTGAACAGCATCCTAACAGGAGCTGCCAAGTCGGGCAGGGACTGGAGTATACACAGGGCTTCAGGGAAGATGGACTGTCTGGGTTTGGGCAGATATACTCATTCTTGCATGAAGAGGGCAGGAAGAAGGACAGTCCATCATACTGGACTCTGAGAACAATTCACAGAGGCATATATTGGAGAGCAATGACAGTTGGATTTTCCAGGCCATCAAGTGAATTAATTCTGGTGAGTGTGGGGAACATATAAGCTTCCAAGTTGGAAGCAGGTTTTACAGAGCAATTTAAGAGAATGTGGAAACTAAAATGCTGGGCAGTCAGCTGACAGATGGCCCTGACCCAGGCTTAGAAATGTATGAGAAAGCGTAAAGTGCATGAAGAGTGATTACAGGACATGAATGAAGTTCGGCTCATGGGTCATCATCTTCTGTAAGTAAAGATGATTTTAAATCAAATCCCAGGATGGTTGCAGAGCTGGACTCAGATGCTATATAGCAATTGAGGGCATTGTGTTCATTTGAATGAAAAAATTCTTAATTTTTATTAACATCATATCATTTTAGAAATTAGATGTAAACCATCTTTCATGTTGCCTTGCAGAGTTTAACAGTGTTCTTCTAGCGGTAAGATCATAGGAACTTCAAAATTTTTGAAGGATGGATTGTTCTTAAAGAATTCAGCCACTTTTTCTAGTTCTCTCCTCATTTTATCACTTACGAAATATTATCTTAAATGTATCTTTACTTTTAAGTAAAACCCTTATATTTGAAATATAAGGGTTCTCTATTCATCTCCTCATTCTGGGAACTATTCCTTTATCTTTGACCCAATGTCTCCACCCTTATGTGCCATCCGGACATATTATCACCATGACAACAACCCAATGCTTACTGTCAGCACACCATTTTATCCTAAGAACACATTTGTATCCACGAAAGTCTTCTTTCAGAGCAATGAAAGAAGTTACTTTAGTTTCTCTGTTAAGGAAGAGGAATTAAAACAGATCCCATAGTTTCAAAACTGTTTGGAGAAAGAGACAGTGATATAAATAATGAAGAATGAGGTATTTTTGAGAATAGCTCACTTTTTAAGTCTTACCAGGTGCCAGATGCTGACCTATGCCTTTAACACACATTATCTCATTTTATTCTCACAATGCCATCCTGAGTTAGGTACAATTACTATCCTCATTTACATACAAGGATACTGAAGCTGAGACTTGTCCATAATTACACAATAAGTACATGAAAATAAACAGAGCCAGTCTGACTTCAGAATGCACATGATCACCTTTTCATTTCCTTCTAATATGATATTTTACATTTCCTGCAATGTTTTGCCATTGCTAGCATTAAGACAAAGCATTCAGACAAAACAAGTCCTCAGTAATCTCCAATTCTTACATTTATCACCATGGCTAGCAATTATGAAAAATCTGAATATTTAAGCATGGGTTTTGGCTGTAATGCAAAGTAGAAATGATACTTGTCTTTTCTTTTTTTTAAGATTTATTTATTTATGCATATAAGAGCTGGGGTACAGGCCAGAGATGGGCGGGGGGAGAGAGGATTCACCAGAGACAGAGTGGGGAGCAGAACAGGCAGACTGACTGAAACACACTGCTGAGGGAAGCAGCAGGTGAAATAGGAGAGGTCTGCCTCGCCACATGGGTTTCTCTCTGGCCGGCCGGGGATCAAACTCATGCTGCAGTGGCTGCAGAAATCTTCATAGTGCGGTGCTTTAATCCCTTGTGCCACCAGGGAGGCCCTTGTCTTTTCTTTTTTCTATTAATTTCTTTTTTAAATTGTGGTAGCATTAAGAGCCTCCTCATTGGGTGTTGCCACCGTAGGGCACCCACCATCAAATCTCCAATAGTCTACCACCACAGTCCATTGTGATTCCTTCCTTCCCTCTTTGTTCCTACCTTCCACCACCCGCCCCTCTGCCCTTTGTATGCATCATTTCTATAGTGAATTTTCAAGGGTTAGTTTTTAAATTTGTCTTTCTCTGATTTTTAGTTTGGTTTTTCTGTATTACACATATTAGTGACACCATCTAGTAAAACCTGTCTTGGATGGTATGAACCCATTTTACTTGGTTAGAATTGCTGGACTCTGGGTAACTTACTCTGGAATTCTGCATTCATAAGTGTGAGGTCGTTTATATTATTCATGTCAGTATTCCTCAGGAGGATTGATCTTCTTGTTGGCCTCCATAATATATAGCTTACAGTGCCTGACTCTGCCCTCGGTGTCACTCATTTGTTGATCTGGGGTCATTATGTTAAAGTCCTTGGTGCTAATTCTAGAATTGCTGTTGCGAGCCCAAAATTGCTAACACCTAAACCTGAAACAAGGAATA